TTGAGAGGGATGTTTAACTGCATCTACACAGCCGTCTATAATTACAAGCCATGCTGAGAAGTTTGGCAACGTTGTTCGAAAGTCAATCGGTGGGCCGATGTAAATTTTAATGGCGTCTTGTTGCTCTTGCAAAATTGCATTTTTCCTCTCTCCTGTGTTTCGCCTTGGCGGTTTTAATGTAGAAGAAAGATACTTAGGCAGCTTACAATTGTGCATATATATTATTTATTTACAAAAATGGATAATAACATTTTTATTTGACTTTAAAATTCGGAACGCTGTAAATTGGTAACTGCATCATAATGTGTTTTCCATCGAGATCTCCGAAATTGGTGAACTTCTGTCGAAAGAGGTGTAGGTGAAGCACACGCTTGAGCACTTAATTTCGGCAAAAGGATAGTAAATCGCTGTGCATCAGCCAGGTTTTATCAACCACCAGGTGTGATTCAGAATGGCAGATTTTAAGCCCGTCGCTATTCCAGTGGGTCTAGGTACGAAGCTTTTAAAGAGGGGAGCCCCGTAGACTTCAAATTCCCGTACCATGAACTCTTGGGAATAAGTTGAAAGGTTCCTTCAGAAAATCGATTTGACATGTCCGTGCTAGAATACCTGAAATACAAACTAATTGTGTTTTTTCACGATAAACACTTACCGTACTTACGTACCACGTAGTGTGTAGGTCATATTTGAGCTTGTACAGGTACTTTGAACAAATACAAGTGCTTGTAAAGGGTCCAGTAACAAGTAGCCTGCTTTAGAGGTTAAGACAACAAATCCATATATTTCGTTTAGCAACTTACCTGAATAATAATTTCTGTTCATTCTATACGGAGTAACACAAATTGTCGCATTCTCGCTCTGTTAAAACAGGTAAATAGGAATATTACACCCAAAACACGTATAAAATACACCTGAAATCTGTCAAGTTGAATTAGGAAATCGGCCTACCATGCAGTGTTGCCATAATTCTCAGCACGGCTTGTAATTATACACGGCTGTGGCATCTAGCACGAAAGTGACAAGTGCCTGTGACAGATGACGCAAGTTATAAATGCCATTCTCCTGCAATATTGCCAAGTCGTTATGTCATCTGAATGGTTCTAGGAGCTGATTGGTCGGGCTTATTACGCCACAGAGCCCGCCACAATCATATCGTTTTGAATAAACCTTTAAAACCGCACATGTTCATTAGTTTTTTAAACCCCCATTGAATTGGCCGTAGGTATGCAAATAAGGGTATTGTCAAGTGCCCCCCCCCCTCCCCTCCTCTCCAGGTTTATCTCCTTTATAAAGTGATGTAAACAAAATCGAAGTGCAAGGAATATAAATTTGAAATGAGAGACTGTAGATTGGGCAAAAAGTAGTATGATCAGAAATCTGTAAGTTTTCAGAACTTTGTACGTCTTCCAAATATCAGTATTATAATAAAGTCGAAATGTTATTACACAAAACCACAAGTGCCAGTAGTGAAATGAATTAGTGCATATCGAAAGGAAAGCACTCTCGCCAGCTAGTCGGAATGTTTCCTGGATGTATACGAGCCCCGAGATCCGCACAAGGATCTACAGACGATATTACAAAGCAGACCAAATCAATTGTTCAGGTAAGTGTTTTGGTTTTAGATTTATCGCGAAATATTACCAAACCACTCTTTACACTTCACATTTTTTATGAAACAACAAGGCGCGGTTTCGTAGTCGTACATCGATGCCAATTTTAATTGCCAATAACTTTTACGATTTCCTTTGACTCATGATGTTTCATAAAAAATCCCATATTTGTTGAATCTCCACAATTTTTTGTTTGCAAATTTACGGTCATTAACAAGTCTGGGAATTCATTAAGATTAGCCATCAGAACTCAGAGTGTTATGACGTCATATTTATATTTATTTTTAAATGTGCTGAAAAAGATTCATTTTCATCAACCCCTGCTCTGACATTCCAAGGTGGTCACAATTATTAAAGTATCTCTTAAAAATTACTAATAAACATTGGGGAGGCCGACGAATATTCTTTGGTAAAAATATAAACGTAACTATAATGAATACCTTTTTCAAAACTAAAAGTAGTGTGTAACTTTACTGCACAACTCCAAGTATACAGATCCATACAAATTTTTGTGTCCCCCTTAGTTTAGTACTCTACACTCAATAAAATAACCGCAACTTCTTGTTTAGTCTCCGTTCTGAGATCCCAAGCACAGGCAAAATTGTATTTAATGAATTTTTCATGATAAATACACAAGTTCAAAAATTTGGTAGTTTTCGGGGGTTGAATATGATGTATTTTCAAGAACATGTACTTTTTTTATATTTATTTCTTGGCAAATGATTAATGGAGAGGGGGCTTTTTACACATAAACATTTAAAGGCCGCCTGGCATACAATCAAAATTTACTCGGCAAGAAGAATCAAGCCCTTAGAGAAATTCTCCGAAATATTGTATTCTCCCTTCCTCCAACATTTTTTCGAGATATTCACAATTAAGTTTTTAGATCGCCAGTAGATGTGTCTTTTCCAGACGATTTTTCCGCCCTTTGAGAGTACCCTCCTTCGCCACTCCGTTCTGAAGGTATTTGCACTGAAAGTTTTGACATCATCAGTAGATATGTGTCGTTTTCACACTGTTATAGCAAACAGTTTAAAAGAAATTTAAGATAAAAATGCAACATTTTCTTCAAATATTAAACAAAAGTGTTCAGAATCATTTCAAGTGCTTTTTAATAGGCACTTCTAAACCGGGAAGTCACGTATGCAGCACTATAAGGCTCTGGAAATGACTTAAGTGTTTAATAATACGAAAACACGTAAAAAAATAATGAAAGTCTACCAACAGGGTGCAGAAGTTGGTTTACGCACCAATATTTTCTCCCTTTGGCTGTCTAATATTTTACAGGAAAGTTGTAAATCAGTTTTTTGTAGCTTGTAAAATTCCGCATTTACTACATGTGGCCCATTTGTAATTTTTTTCTGTGGGAACAATCTCAAAATTGAGGAACATTATAAATTAGCATTTTATAATTATGAAATCTAATTTTTTTGTTTCAATAAATTGAATTATCTACTAAAATCCACTGGTGCGTGGACATTTATTGAAACAAAATTCGATTTTTACTATTTTAAATTTATTTATTTATTCGGTTTCCGCGAATTGAAAAACAATATAATGAGGACATTAAGCAGACGCAGAGATGTTTCAAGGTACGAGAAAACCTATTTGCCAACTTCCCTTTAACAATTAAATTTTAAGGGGGGGGGAAAAAAGAAAACTTATTTTTCGATGTAAAGAACACCCTGTTATTAAGGTGTTTTGATCTCAGAAGTTTTCTTTACAGCCTGAATGAGCTTGGCAAACACCTAGATTACCAGTAATATAACGGGTTCGTTAACTTGCCCCCCCCCCCCACTGAGAGATTTGATAGGATTGTCAGGATGATTCGCCCCCGAAAAATTCGCCCCGGTCAAATTCGCCCCTGAAAATCGCCCCCGATATTATTACCCAAGAAAACTCGCCCCAGTAAATTCGCCCCCGGACTGTTCGCCCCCCGGCTATTCGCCCCGGAAAAAATTCGCCCCAAGAAAACTCGCCCCCAAAAGTAAATTCGCCCCGGTAAATTCGCCCCTGAAAATTCGCCCCCGGAATATTCGCCCCCAAGAAAACTCGCCCCCAAGTAAATTCGCCCCCGGACTATTCGCCCCAGAAAGATTCGCCCCGGAAAATTCGCCCCCAAGAAAACTCGCCCCCAAGTAAATTCGCCTCCGGACTATTCGCCTCCGTAAGATTCGCCCCGGAAAATTCGCCCCCGGCAAATTCGCCCCCGACAAATTCGCCGCCGGTGATTCCGTTCCCGTAGGATTCGCCCCATAAGATTTATTAATCCTTGGAGGTAACAAGGCCAGCAGTTCATAAAATGAATG